CACCCAAGACCGTTCCCTCCTGCCTCTTGCCAGTCAATACCTCCTTCCTAAAGGTACCCGCTGATTTCTATCACCACAACTCTGGTTTTGCCTGTATTTGTATCTCATGTAAACAGACTCCTACCATATGTGCTCTTTTGTGTCTGGATCCGTCCCGCAGCACAGTGCTTTTGCAACTCACTGATGTTGCTCCATTTATCAGTATGCCGCAACTTGTTCATCCGTCGCCCACTGAAGGACATTTGGGTTGTTTCCAGAAGTGGACTATCGTGAGCAAAGCTTCCAAAGTGCTTTTCAACAGTTTGGAGTAGGAGAGCCCACTGGAGTTGGGGGAGGGACGACCAAGGGGCATGGAGAAACCAGCCACCTGATTCCTTATTCACACAGAGACCTACGGGAAGCCTGGGGCTCCTGGGTGGCCCAGTCGGTTAAGCGTCCAACTTTGGCTCAGGTCATGTGCTCATGGTTCATGGGTTCAAGCCCCAGCATCAGGCTGCTTCGGACCCACTGTCCCCCTCTTTCTATCCCTTCCCTATTTGCGAGTCAGTGCACGTGCTCTCTCTCTCAAAAATGAACATTAAAAATATTTTTTTTAAATACCAGGGGAAGCTTGGGGCGCCTGGGTGGCTTAGTCGGTTAAGCGTCCGACTTTCGCTTAGGTCATGATCTCGCGGTTCGTGGGTTCAAGCCCCGCGTCGGGCTCTGTGCTGACTGCCAGCTCAGAGCCTGGAGCCTGTTTCAGTCTGTGGCTCCCTCTCTCTCTGACCCTCCCCTGCTCACGCTGTCTCTCTCTCTCTCTCTCTCTCTCCTAGAAATAAATAAAAAACATTAAAAAAAATTTTTTTTTAAAATAAATACTAGGGGAAGCTCAATATATAATAGAGACAAGGGCTGAGCTGCTGCTCTTTAATAAGAGGGTGGCGTTTCTGGATTCTACCTACTCAGCTTCTCCGTGTCACCTACAGCATCCCTGAGGTATCTCCGCAGAGTTCCACAGAAGCCGATTTCAAAAACTGTATTCCGGAGGGTATCTGATGGCCCTGCCAGCTCTGGGTGCCTCTTGAGAGAGAGAGAGAGAGAGAGAGAGAGAGAGAGAATGAATCTCAAGCAGGCTCCACACTGAACACTGGGATCATGATCTGAACCAGAATCAAGATTTGGACACTCAACTGACTGAGCCACCCAGGCACCCCTGGGTGTTCTTGATGTAAGAATTTCCAGGCCTGGGTTGGCCTTCCTGCCAATCCCCACCCCCCCTTCATCACGATATGATCCTACACACGACATTGCCCATGTGACAAGCACCAACTCATCTTAGCACCACAGCCAATAATCGCCTCCCCCAGCGAAGTATAGCCATGGCTCCCTAGGACCCTTCATGCATCTGGGCTCCCGCTGCTCCCTGGGGTGGCTCTCACTAACTGTGCTGCTTTGGCTGTTGCTATCGGTCCCTCTACCACGGAAGCAGGGGTGTGTGACACCTCTGGTGCCTGGGTCACTAGTGCCCAGCACCAGCCTTGGCCCGAGGCAGGCACACAGCACGTGTTGATTGAATGGGTCTCAGCTCAGTCCCTCCTAGAAAGTGCTGACGGGGGCCAGAATCTCTTCGTGACACCCTAAGGCCCTCAGTCACCTCTGCGGCCTCATTCTCCCCAGTGTCTCGTCATTCCATCCGCTTCAGCCACTGGCCTCCTTGCTGTTCCTCAGAAGTGTCAGGGATGTCCCCACCCCCCAACCCCCAGGCTCTCAGTACTTGCTGCTCTTTCTGCCCAAAGCCTCTTCTTCAATATACTGAACTGGCTCCTCTCTCACTAAATCCAGGCATCTGTTCAAACATCATTTTCCTGGAGTGCCCGGGTGGCTCAGTCAGTTAAGCATTCAACTCTTGGTTTCGATTCAGGTCATGATCCCACGGTTCGTGACTTCAAGTCCCACATCGGGCTCTGCGCTGGTAGCACGGAGCCTCCTTAGGATTCTCTCTCTCCCTCTTTCTCTGTCCCTCCCCTAACTCTCCTCTCTCGCTCTCAAAATAAATAAATACATCTGAAAACGAATTTTTAAAAATGACAAAGAAAACTCATCACCGTCTTCCAGAGGCCTCCCCTGACCTAACGTAGCTTCTTCCTGCCCGTCTCTATCCTCCAGGGCCCCTTACTTTATGTTCAGAGCACTTATTCCTATCAGACTTTTGGGGAGTCCCTTCCACAGCCCCTGCTGGAGGAACCAAAGCCCATCTGTGCTGGGGCAGGGATTCCATGAAGCCATTTCCTTCCAGGTCTTTCTATGTAAAATATAGTTTAGTCCTCAGTGAGAGAGATTTAGGTTAGACAGGGAATAGGCCTCTGCTGTTCCAGATATCACAGCAGTGTGCACACTGGGTGATCAGGGTCTGAGCCCTCCCCCACCCAGAGCTGTCTGATTCATCTGTATGTGTGTTGGGTCTGCCCAAGGCAATGATGAAAGAATCAGCATGTGTAAATCAATCCATTCATTCAACAAATAATTACTGAGCAACGACCATGTACCAGGTACTTTTTAAAGGGCTGGACGTGCAAAGGGACAAAGTGACAAAGTCTCTGCTCTCATGTGTCTTATGCTCTGCTGGAGAGACAGACAGTAAGCAAGTAATTATACAGCTGGTGGCGGAAGCAATCTGTCAGGGGCCCTGACCATCCCTGCGAGTTCTTGCTGGTATGACAAGTGCAAGGCCCTGAAAGCCCTTTGCCCGGGCTACTTCTCGGGTTGTGTTTGCAGCAAGCAACCTTGGGGGATGACGCGACATCTCCCCTGACCCCCGGCAAAGAACAGGCATGCCTACCACTCACAGTGAATCTCCAATCCCCATGGTCTTCCTCTGTGCCACCACCACCCGGTGTATGGGGCTCCATGATGGGTCCTTTGCCGGGCTCGGGGGACATGGGCACGGACACCCACAAACGTGAAGCCCTAGCTACTGGTTTTACCATGAGTAACAGGAAACAAAAGCAACCAATCTTACCCAGGAGTTTCATGTCTTCTGCCAGCATCCATGAAACAGTTAATGGACTATTATTAAACAATGAACAGTAACAGTTTATTAGTTTGTAAATACTGTAAAAATCTCAGAGCTGTACAGTTCTTAACTGTATGGGAAGTGGAGATTAGTGCTACTGAGAAAATAGACCAGAAAAAAGGAAGACAGGGAAAATGGAGGAGACTTCCTTCTTTTTCAAAGATAATGGATTTTTTTCTGGGCTGCCTGAGTAGCTCAGTCGTTTGAGTGTCTGACTGTTGATTTCAGCTCAGGTCATGATCCCAGGGTCATGGGATGGAGCCCCGCACTGGGCTCTGTGCTAAGCATGGAGCCTACTTAGGAGTCTCTCTCTCTTTTCCTCTGTCCCTCTCCCCTGCTCGAACACACTTTCTCTCTCTCTCTCTCTCTCAAATAAACATTGGAAAAAAATAAAGATAATGGGTTTTTTAAAGTAATTTTTAAAGTATTTTTTAAGTACACCCTACCCCCAAGGTGGGGCTTGAACTCACAACCCCAAGATCAACAGGGACATGCTCCACCAACTGAGCCAACCAGGCTCTCCAAGGCTTGCTGTTTTACATAGAGTTGTTAAGAATGGCCCCTCTGATAAGGTGGCATTGGAGCAGAAACAAGCCAAGTGACTATATGAGAGAAGAGCTCTTCAGCCTCAGGGACCCACAAGGACAAGGCAGGAGGTGGGAAGATACTTGGAATAATTTGAAGAACAGCCTCGTGGCCCATGTGCCTAGAGGAGTGTAAGAGGGAGGAGAGCAGATGAGGCCAGGGAGATGGTCAGACACCAGAGCACATACAGCCTCACGGTCCATGGATGCCATTTGCAGCGTATTCTGAATGAGATGGGAACTCTTGGTGGGTTTTGATTTAAAAGGGCGGCTCTGATTGCTGTGTGGGGAAGAACCGGCAGCCCTGGGGGACCACAGTGGAGCAGGGAGCCAATGAGAAGGTTGTTACAGTAGTCCAGGTGAGAGATGACAGTGGCTTGTCCTGGTGGTGGTGGTGGAGGCGGTGACAAGCGGCCAGCTTCTGGGTGCATTTTAAGACTAGAACCCACAAGCTGGCTTATGTGTTGGATGTGGGGTGTGAAGAAGAGCCAAGAATGACCTCAAGGTTTTGCGCTGAGCAGCTGCAAGGATGGAGTCGAATGAGATGGGGAAGAAATGGCAGGGGCAGGTTTGGAAGGAATCAAGAGTATGATGAAATGCGGTGCCTGGGTGGTTCAGTCAGTTAAGCCTCATACTCTTGATTTCCCCCATCAAAAAAGGAGGTGTGGGGTGCTGGGTGGCTCAGTCGGTTAGACGTCCGACTTCAGCTCAGGTCATGATCTCAGTTCGTGGGTTCGAGCCCCGCGTCGGGCTCTGTGCTGACAGCTAGCTCAGAACCTGGAGCCTGTTTCAGATTCTGTATCTCTCTCTCTCTCTGACCCTCCCCTGCTCACACTGTCTCTCTCTCTCTCAGAAATAAATTTTTAAAAAGGAGGTGTGGGTTCCTTTAAGAGAGTTACGCCCCACCCCGTGAAGCCCCGCCCAATGATGGTCCCGTGACCCTCGGTCTTTCACTTAAGGGCGGGTCTCGGGCCGTTTGAAAGATCCGCGCGCACCTCAGGAGCCGGAGTTAGCCCGCCGACTGGGATGTCGGTGTTGCGGCCGCTGGACAAGCAGCCTGGCCTGAACACGGCCACCATCCTGGTAGGCGTCAGCTGCTTCGCTTCCCCGCCCGCCTTTCCTCTTTAGCGGCGCCCCCACCGTCTGTTCCTGTGGGCTCTTTGAGGTCCTGGTGCGCGCTACGCGGACTGGGGTGTGGTGGGCGGGAGAGCAGCATTCTGAACCAATCGGTGTAGCCGCCCTCTAAGCCTGAAGGACGCCTCCACCAATAGGCGCGCGGGGGGCTCTTTCCCGGTTTCTGATTGGTGGGGCCGCTGGGCGGGCTGAGACCCGGGAGGCTGTGTTCCGCGCCCGGCAGGTTATGGTTTTCCAGTGTCTCTGGGTGCGGCCGTCCGAGTGGGCGTCTGGGGAAGTTAAGAAGGTTGTACAGACAGGACCGGAGGGGTGCGACCTGGACCCTCAACCCGGGCCTGGTGGACCCCTCTCTCGGTAAACGGCGCCCTGCGCGCGGGAGCGGGAATCCTGGGAGTCGAGCGGTCTCCGGTCTGTAGCCTGATGCCCAGGCCCTCCAGCGGGACTGCTGTGCCCGGGCATCAGTAGGCCGCCTTCTCTCCCTGGACAGCTGGTGGGCACGGAAGATGCGCTTCTGCAGCAGCTGGCCGATTCGATGGTCAAGGAGGACTGCGCCTCGGAGCTGAGGGTGTAAGTAGCTGGGTCTGGGGTGTTGGATTGCTCCGCAGTGGCTGAACTGTAGCCTGCTCTTGTAGGCGAGCCGGGGAGCTGCCGGAGAGGGAAGAGCTGCCAGAGAGGGGGGCGCAGGAGGGGCCAGCCCCTCGTGGCGTGATCTGCCTCCAGCTAAGTTTAGCCTCCGTCACTCGCTGTTACACGACTGTTCTGTGTTCCTCTAGCACTTGTCACCATAAGAAATTTCCTTGTTCACCTATTTCTGTATTTGTTTCCAGCGCCCCGCCCCCCGGACCCCCAAGGTCAGCCTCTTGAGGTCAGGGACTTTGATTTTTGTTCACTAGTGAATCCCCAGTGCTTTGAGCAGTACTTGGCACAGAGTAGTGTTCAATTACCTCCCTAATTTGGAGAAACAATGACTAAAGAATTGTATTTTGTTTTTCTTTTTCTAACTGGAGAGTTGGAACAGCTGCTGGTGGGAAGCAAGGGACTGAATATATGGGTGTCATTCTCCCTCATAGTTAAGCTCCAAGGGGCCGTATGGAAGGAGCACTCTAGAGGGTGCTCCTCCATGGGAACTGAAAACGCCACTTACTAGGAGAATAAACCCTATTACAGAACTTCGAAGAATCTCCAATGAAGGAACAAGTTCAGACGAGAGTGATGAAGGTGACTTAACCCAAGGTCACATAGCTGGTCATTGCCAGACCTGAGATTTGAGCTGACTTCCATCGCCCTCCAAAGGGGTTCAGTCTTAACCCCTAATCTTCACTGTCTCACACCCCTCTTCTGGGCCTCATCTCCTTCCCAGCACACAGTGTAGCTGGCTTGCCCCATGCCACCTTATGGCCCAAACTGCCTCTTGCCAAGGCAGTTCCCAAACAGAGCTCCTTGCAGGCAGAAGGAGTCAGACAGAAGTCATCTAGAAAGGACCGGCTCTGCCCTGCCCCTACGCTCACCTTAGGAGTCTTGCCCACAAGAGCATCAGGGACATAGGTGAGGAGCCTTTGACAGCCTCTTACCTTAGGAAGGTCAGCATGTGAATGGTCGCTGGGTTGTGGGTACATATATCTTTAGTCCTGCAATTTCTTGTTTTTCAGCCACCTGGCAAGGTCCCTTCCTCTGCCCTCCAGTGTGAATCGGCCCCGAATTGACTTGATCGTGTTCGTGATCAACCTTCACAGCAAATACAGGTGAGAGCCAGAGAATGGGTGCCTTCAGGGCTCAGGTAGACCTGGGATGGGAACCTCACCTGTGCTGGGAAGAAGACACGGGGAGAGTCTGCCTGGGGTTAGCCCAGAGGACGAGGATGGGGAGCCACTGGCAAGTGTGTGACACTTTAAAGACACTGATGGGGGGGCATCTGGGTGGCTTAGTCGGTTAAGCATCCGACTCTTGATTTCAGCTCAAGTCATGATCTCACGGTTCGTGGGTTTGAATCCTGCATTGGGGTCTGCGCTGACAGTGTGGAACCTACTTGAGATCGTCTGTCTGTCTGTCTGTCTCTCTCAAAAATAAATTTAAAAATAAACATTAAAAAAATGACACAGACGCTAATAACCCCCAGCAGTGCTGTCGGTCTTTGAGCTAATGTTTTCTGTAGCCTTCTCTGTATCCCTGATGGCAGGCACAGACATGAATGAAACAGACCACTGTCCCCAAGGTGTTCCCAGCCCACTGGGGGAGGAAGCTAGACTCTTGAACACACACTCGTAGTGTCTAGCATGGGTGCTATAAAAGAAGGATGCATCGGGCTGTGATAGCCCCAACGAGACCTGTGACTCCCAGGACGTAGGGCAGGGTAGACGTTCTGCTGGAGATGACCAGGCTGAGGTGCCCGGGTACAACTGGGAGTGAGCAGGAGCCAGGTGAATGGGTTAATGTAAAGGGTAGGAGGAGCATAATGTGTGTGCTGGACTGTTAAGGCTGGTCCAGGGTCAGGGGCCCTGTGTAGTAGTCAGGGGAGCATGAGTGGGTGGTGATGCTTGGGGCCCGGCCCCGCCTCCCTGTGGTGCTGGCAGCCTGGGGACAGGACTGCAGCCAGCCTGGCGGGTACAGGAGAGGGTCCGCTGGCACCCCCTGCGGGGAGGCTGATGATGGGAGGCAGGACACAGCATCCAGCACGGAAACCAAGGCACACGCCCAGTCATGTGGTGTGGCTTAAGTGGAGGCTGTGGTGGAAACACCTGGAACAGACCCGCTGCCTGGCCACCTGGACCAGACGGGCAGTGACGTGGGCCCACGGCGGGGCAGAGAAAGGGCTGCGATCTGCCCTGATTGCCAGAGGGCCTGACTCTGCAGATCCAGTCACCAAAACGGATCTATACGGTCACACTGAGGGGCCGAGAGCCATCCTTACTGTTTGCCCCTGGCCTCGCTTATTCAGGCGGAAACCTTGGCCCGGGTCACCTGCCCAAGATGGTTTTTTTTTTTTTTTTTTTTTTAATTTATTTTTGAGAGTCAGAGACAGCGTGAGCAGGAGAGGATCAGAAAGAGAGAGAGAGACAGAATCCGAAATAGGCTCCAGACTCTGAGCTAGCTGTCAGCACAGAGCCTGATGTGGGGCTTTTTGGCCAGGAGACGACAGATTTCTTCATCATTCCTTGGACACCAGCGAATGAAACCCTTGGCCCAGAAGGTTAAAGTGCCCTTTTCCTAAAGGAAAAGAGTATTTTCATACACTTGATGTGACTGTAAATACTATAACCTTATTGGAAAGCAATTTGGTAATACCTAGGTACGTTTTGTTGGTTAATTTTGAGAGAGAACACGAGCAGGGGAGGGGCAGAGAGAGAGAATGCCAAACAGGCTCCACATTGTCAGCGTGGAGATCATGACCTGAGCCGAAACCAAGAGTCGGGCACTCAACTGACTGAGGCGCCTGGCGCCCACAGAGCCACATTTTAAAAAGACACATACCGTGACCCAGCCATTCTGCATCTAGCATCTGTCCTACAGAAGCATCTGTCTGCATGTGGGAGAATGTGTATAAAAGGATGTTCACACAGCATTCTGTGTAATGGTGAAACGTTGGGAGACCATTTAAGGGTCCATCACCCGGAAAATAGATTGTGGTGTTGGGTTCCAAAGAATATAACAGATGGGTTACCACTGAACCCAACTAAGTGTTTGTACATATCACTGTCTGTATTTGCACATGAAAAATCCATACGCAAGAGGAATTACACCCCAAACTGTCAGCAGCAGTTACTTCAGGTATGTTGAGGTGGTGCTGGAGAGGGGACTTCCTTTTGACTGAAAACATCCATATTCACTATCTGGATTGTTTTACAGGCTTGAGTCATTTCGTAATTAAAAGCACTTAAATGGAGCGCTTGGGTGACTCAGTCAGTTAAGCGTCCGACTTCGGCTCAGCTCATGATCTTGTGGTTCGTGAGTTCAAGCCCCGTGCTGGGCTCTGTGCTGACAGCTCAGAGCCTGGAGCCTGCTTCGGATTCTGTGTCTCTGTCTCTCTCTGCCCCTCCCCCACTCACACTCTGTCTCTGTCTCTCTCTCTCTCAAAAATAAATAAATAAATAAATAAATAAATAAAAGTACTCAAAATGAAAAATGAAGTATTCCTCTAGAGGTGTTTCCTCTTACCCTCCTTTCCTTCTCTGGCCTCTCTGGGCTGAGGAGCGCAGCCTTCTGCCTTCTCTGTGGTAAGGTTTGTCCTGTGGTTTGTTTCCTCCCGCTAGCCTCCGGAACGTGGAGGAATCCCTGCACCATGTGGACGCCACCTTCTTCCTGGGGAAGGCGGCCTTCCTCGCCACCGGCGGTAAGTGCATCCTGCCCTCCCCCCGCCCTGGCGCTGTGTGGCCAGCACTGCACTGCTTTGTGGTGGTGGACTCCTTACTGAGGCCTCCCAGGGGACCAAAGAACATGAGTTTCGGAATCTGACCCATTGGCAGTGTCTCTGAAAGCGAATCTGAGCAGATCTCATTCTGCCAAGATCATTACTAAGAGTTGCCTGCTGGTTCTGTGTGGCTTTCAGAGTAAAAGCCACAGTCCTGTAAAGGCCCAAGTTCGGCCTTTCACCCTCCTGTGTCGTCTCGGCTCCTGTTACTGTCCCATCCTTTGGTTCAGCCTCTCATTCTCTGATCAAGGCCTGCTGTTCCTGAGCCTTTGTTAATACCGATGGTGGAAATACTAGCTGACCTTTATCGAGCACTCCCTACACACCAGACGCTGTTCTAAAAGTGCTCCATTTCTGTATCACATAATCTTCACTACAAACAACCCTTTGAGGTACATATTGTTATCTCTGTTTTAGAGCAGAGGAAACTGGAGCCTCTAGGCGAGCTAGCTTGCCCAAGGCCCACAGCTAGAAAGGGGTAGAGCCGATGTTCGTACCTAGGTAGTCCTGTTCCAGAGCCCATGCCCTTCATGATTCTACCATAGAGCTTCCCTTGGATGCTTTTTTCTTCTTTGTCTAGCTAACCTCTATTTCCTGTCCCCTGGGAGACCCCTCCCTCACCAGCCATGCAATCTGGGCCCCAAGGGGTCCATCCCACGCACGCTTTTGTCCTATAGACTCCCCACCATTCCACTTACACCGACGGTGTGTCTGAGCTGCCCTCCTCCACCCGGCTGACCTGTGAAGTCCTTGCCGGGAGGGCCTGGCGCAGATCCCTCTCAATGGGCATCGACGAATAAATGAATGCCAGGTCATTTCTGTATATTAATTCATCGAATCTCTATGTAACTCAGTGGGGCGGGGGCTGTTGCCATCCTCATCTTCTAGATGAGGAAACTCATGTTTTTATAGAGCGCCCTTGCAAATCCCTTTCAGCTTTATTTTCTAATTTAATGATCTGGGCTGCCCTGAAAAGAAGGTTGAACAGGATTGTCACCCCACTGACTAGTAAGCAACTGAGGCCCAGACAGGGGTAGTGGATGACTGTGCCCAGTGCCTCCTGCATGGCAGGCAGGAAGGCAGAGATCACAGCCCGCAGCACTCACGGCTTCTTTGCAGCTGGGCGGGAGAGTCACTGCAGCATCCACCGAAACACAATCATGAAGCTGGCCCACACCTACCGGAGCCCCCTGTTCTTCTGTGACCTGGAGGTAAGGACACTAATCGAGGGGGTGCAGGGAACGGGCAGTCAGCACACAGTAGGTGTGTCGAGAACGCTTCTTGGAGGGTCACGTTCCCGGGTGAGGAGGCCCTGATATGAAGACACAAGGTCCTAGTTTGAATCCTGGCTTCTCTGCTCACCGGCTGGACCTTGGGTGGATCTGTCCCGCTAAGTGCTAGGGCACATACAATGTAAAACAGGGCGATAATATGCATTCAGCCTGAGTGCCTCTTTCATGCCAAGTGCTCTCACTTGCTGCCTTCTTTTGCTTTGTTTTCTCTCATAACTAAGTCTTATGTATGTAACGTGGGTCCCTGTTAATATCTCTCTGGGCTGTAAGTGCTGTGAGGCCAGGCAGGCATCTTGTCTGTTTCATTAACCAGTGCCTCCCCACGTCCACCCACAGTCAGGATGCCCCTGTCCCCCTTCCTCCCCTGCACTGCAGACCTGGGCCAGTCCCAGCCCGGGGCATGGCATCCAGCAGGCAGCAGGGAAGGCGGGCAGGTGGGTGAGTAGAGGGTTGGAGGGCCCCAACTCGCTCTGTGGGTGTTCCTCATAGCGTGAGTCTAATTATGAGTAGCACAGAGCAGATCTCTTTTGCTGATAAATTTTGCTCTCCAGCCTCGCTTTCTGGAGTATGAATCCTGACTTTTTGGTAAAAGTACTCAGCAGCTGTCCCTTCTGGGAGGCCTGCTGAGGACTCCCAGGGCCTAGGCCACCCCACCTGTGTCCCAGGCCTACTTAGTTGGTTTTAGAGTGTGTTTATTGGTTTTGAGGTTCATTTCTGCTCTGCTCTGGGTCTGGCACCTGGTCCCAAAGGTAAAGTGATGTAATGCAGAGAGAAGGGGGTCCACACACTGTCCCTTACCACCACCCAGACCGGAGGTTCTTATTCACGGGTCTGTGGACCCCTCTGGCCTCAGGGTAGAATTCAGGGCATCTGTGAACTTGTATGAGGGAAAAAAATACTTCTTTTTTTCCACTAAACTCTAAGTGAAATTTAGCAGTATGAATATAGGCAAGAGATGTCAGTAGTTTTAGGCTGGGGCTGTTACCAACAGAAATGGCAGATATTTCCATCTCGCTAGAGGCTGGGGCAGATCTTGTTCAACGCCTCAATAAAGATGCACATGCCACTCGGTCCCAAATTCGTTTTTCATGCTTGAGGACTATTTGAGTCAGCACTCTGACCTCACAGAGGGCACTGAGGCCCGGGGCATGCCCGAAGTGCCTGCGCTTGCAGACTTTCCCCACAACATACGCCAGAAACCCAAGACTCAGAGAGGAGAGGGGACTCAGTCGTACAGCCAGTAAGTTAGGGGTAGAGCCAGCGGGTTGGCTCTTTTTCCTTCTTAACCTGCTAGTTGTGTGGCTTTGAACAAGTCACTTCCCCTCCATGCAGCCTTGGTCTTCCTCTCTGTAAATGGGAATCATCATCTTTGCTCCACAGCTCAGGTACCTCAAACCTTAGGCGGTTCTGGCTGTGGCGCCCCCCAGCCTGGCGCGGTGTAGTGCAGTTCTCCTTGTGGTCAGTAGGTGGCAGGCCGTACCAGGTACGCGGAGCGTGAACGCTCTCAAGGAAAAGGCCCCGTGGCCTCCTGTCTGGTTCCAGCCACCGCAGCTGGCCTGCTGGCAACGCAAACCCGGCAGTCCCCCAGATGAAGCACCGGTGTTTGGACAGCCCACACTCCTTGTGCCTGTATAATCCTTTTATTTTATTTATTTATTTTTATCATTTAATTTTTTGAAAGAGAGAGGAGGTACAAGTGAGCAAGGGGCAGCGACAGAGGGAGGGAGAGAATCCCACAAGGGACAGAGAGAGAGGAATGGGGCTCACCGGAAGCAGGGCTCGAGCTCACCCTGTGAGGAGCAGGGGCGGGGCTTGAACTCACAAACCATGAAAGCCCAAATCTGATGCTTAAGTGGCCGAGCCACCCAGGTGCCCCCTGTGTTGTTGTCACGCTCCTCCACATATTTGAGTTTGAGCCTCGCCATGTGTTAAGGGCTTGCGTGGCAGGGCTTATCAGCCCCCCTTTCCACCCGAAGACACACGTTCACGAAGCTGTGGGATCGGCCCAGTGAATTTATCTCCCGGCTCTGCTCCTGGGGTCCCGTGCTGCTCCCTGAGCACACGAACGAGTCCGGCATGGAGCCTGCAGTCCCGGTGTGGACGTGAAGGACATGCAGAGACCTGGAAGCCTGGCCGTGGGAGAAGCCATTCCCTCCTGTCGGTGACAGGAGCCGCCCTGTGTGCTCGGACTTGGGTTTGGGGGCCACAGCTCTGGAGTGTCGTGTGCAGACTGGAAGAGGCTCGGCCTGAGCTGGGGCTTCGGGCTCAGGCCGCTGCAGGAGGCCGGCCGGGGAGCCTGAGTGAGGGCAGCGGCAGCAGCTGGGAGGCCTCTTTCTGAGGCAAAGGCCACGGAAGTCAGACTAAGGATTTAGTCAACAGATATTTTTAGGTACCTACAGTGGGCCCCTGGGATGCACAGAACAAAACAGTGTAAAAAAAAAAAACAACTCAGCTCTATTGTAGTAGAGGAAGCACTAAAGAAGTAAAATATGTGGGGCACCTGGGTGACTCAGTTAAGCATCCGAGCTCTTATTTTCAGCTCAGGTCATGATCTCACGGTTTGTGAGTTTGAACCCCATGTCGGGCTCTGCGCTGACAGCACGGAGCCTGTTTGGGATTCTCTCTCTCCCTCTCTCTCTGCTCTTCCCCCTATCATGCTGGGTCTCTCTAAAATAAATAAATAGGCTTTAAAAAAAAAAAGTAAAACGCATTAGAAAATGAGGATGTGACGGTCAGGTGGTGGTAAAGCGTAAGGGTCAGTGCAAATGGCCGGGGGTGACTGTTGAAGAGACCTGCTGGAGGCGGAAGGAAGGAAGTGGTGCAGACGCCCGGTGGAGGAGCACCTGGGGCCAGAGCGGTGTGGGGACCTGCCTGCTGTGTCCAGGGCCCCCCAGGGAAGCCTCCCTGGAGATATGTCAGAGTGACAGTGAGGCCAGAGCAGGAGGGCCCTGTGGGTCTTAGTAAAGGCAGTGGCTTTCACTCTGAGTAAAACTGGAGCCGCAGGGAGGGGTGCAGGGGCAGGGAGGGGTGCAGCCTGACACGGGTTTTACTTATTTTTATTTTCCACTTCTGTGATGTGGGTTGAAATGTATCCCTTAGGTGTGGGACAGAGGAGGGGCCAGGCTGTGAGGCTGGAGGAGAGGCTGGGGGGGGGGGTGCGGCAGCGGCGCGGTCTGCTGAGAGGACACTCGGAGAGAATGACAGCTGCCTCTGGGTTTGGAACGAGGAGGAGTCGCACGTGGCAAAGACGGGAGCGAGAGCAGGAGGGCTGAGGGTGCCGAGTATCTAGTTTGGGCCACTGGATGCCGAGGCCCCCTTCCCGGGTCAAAGGGGGAGCAGAGGGAGGACCAGCCGCTCCCGAGGCGCCAGCCCTTTGGGGGTTTGGGGGGAAGGGTGGCTGAGCGTCGTTCGTCCTTCACCAGACACCGATTCACTGGCGCCAGGCCCTGGGACAGAGCCTCTCCCCCTGCTAGCCCCACCCCGCAGCGCCTCTGGGCCCCTGCCATCTAAAGCAGGGACTCTTTGTTGATGGGGACTCCCTATCCCCCCCGAGGGCCACTGCCGGCCCCTGGCTTCCATCCGGCAGGAGCCTCTGCCTCCTGGGCACTGGCTGGAACCGGCCCCATCCAGATCCCTGCTCTGCGGCCACTAGACAGTTCACCTAACTTCGCCAGCCCCGCCTGCTAAGCCCCATGTTCTCTGGAGGTGGGTCCTTGTCTGTGGTGGCCCTGGAGGGGTTGTCTGAAGGATCTAGAAGCTGGAGGGGTCGGAAGCTGCTTGGTGAGGCATGCTGTGGACGGGGCATGGCCACAGTGGGCAGTGGTGCCCAAAGCTGGCCCCACACCTCGGCTTCAGCTCCCCTCTGGCCTGCTGTGCGGCAGGGCCGGCCACCCCAGACCTGCCTCACCGCCCTCCTCCCCTCTCCCCCTGCAGATAGAAAGCTTTCGAGCCACCATGGCACAGCGCCTGGTACGTGTGCTGCAGATCTGCGCCGGCCACGTGCCCGGTGTCTCAGCCCTGAACCTGCCGTCCCTGCTCAGGAGCTCGGAGACCCCGGCCCCGGAGGACCAGTAAGGGCTGCCGGCCCCCGAGCCTCTGCTCCCCACGCCTGGCGAACTTCCGCTGTTGCTGAAGACCGGGTCAGGGCCTGGTGGGCTCTGGCCCAGCAGTCAGACACTCGCACAACTGAACTCATCCACGCTGCTGCAGGGACCCCCACTGGCGGGCCTGCGGCCCCTCCCTCCCGGGCTCACCCCAGCAGAGCCCGTGTCCTCCACCTGCCAAGGTGCAGCTTCAGGCTCCGTTTGAACAAAGCGTCCATGGCTCAAAAAAATTCTGAAAACCCCTGGCCTCCTCCACTGCCTTGATTTTGCAGATGAGGACACTGACTCCGATCCGTCAGGACGGCCGGACAGGGGGAGCTCGCACTCTGTGACCCAATCCGACCCCACACCCTGCCCTTACCATTCTTCTAGAACCTGGTGTTGCCCCTTAGAGCCTCAGTTTCCCCGGGTGTGGAGTGGAGATCGTCCTGCTGACCTTATCGCCTTATGAGGACTGGGTGAAATGACCTAGGGGACAAGGCCGCGGTTGTATTTCTCTCCCCTCCCCCTCCGTATGCTCCAGGCATTTCATATCAAGGTACTGAAGAGGCACGCAGTGAACAGTAACCATTGTTTGAAATCACACAGAGCTGGGTTCAAAAGCTGGTGCAAACCCAGGAATTACACTGTCTGTGAACTCAGAAGTCGGGGAGAATGATGTGTGAGTCTCTCTGGAGGGCTGGTGTCCCGCTCAGCAGCGAGAGGTTGTGCCTTGACTGTGGCTCCTCTTCTCCTTTGGGTCTAGTTAGAATTTGCCAAAGTGCCAGGGTCAGATTCCAGAAATGCTGTCAGCTGGGCTGGGTCTCCTGCCACTCCCTGGTGGCCAGCTGGGCACACGGGAGCTTGGGGGCAAAGTGGGGCTGGTGGACGAGACCTCAGGAGGAGAGACGGGTGTGGGCTCCCTGGGACCGTGATGGCTCCCCCCACCTCCACCCTGCCCGCCTGTGCTGGGGCCCCTTCATGCCCCGCCTGGCGCCCTGGGCAGGGCCGTCACCACCACAGCCCGAGCTCATGCTCTTCATGAAACGGGGCCGACTTGAGCCAAACGGTGGTCGCCATGAGGACAGGGCCTGCCCTTCTCTCCATGGGCTTCTGCCAGAGCTGGGCCCGCACCACACCCTGGTGCTTAGTAGGGCGGGGCAGCCAGACACCGGCTGATTTGGGGCCGCCCTGCGGGCCCCCCTGAGAACCTCAGCCGCATAGATTCCGGTCAGGGTCCCAGTGTCTGTGACACAGCAGGACAGCACATGTTCCAGTCTCCTCGCACCACCGCTCCCATGTCCCCCGACAGACCTGCGAGGTGGACCGGGTTTCCCTGCTTCAGCCGACAAAAGTAGCACCGCTGCCACCAGAGGTGTGTGCCTGTCACAGGGCCCTTCGGGCAGCCGATCTCCGGCCCCATCTTTTTCCTTCCAGGAGTTTTCTTCCATGCCTCACGGTCGAACGAAGGTTCCGGCACTTCTGCTGGGCAGACCCCGACTGGCGGCACAGAAGCGGGCGCACAGGCCTTGTGCCCGAGAAAGCAGCTGTGGGGAAGGGCAGTGTCTTACAAGCCGCTCCCTTGGGTGGGGGTCTGCACCTCAGGACAGGACTGCCGGGTGCCAGTTAGCACAGGGACAGCCTGCTGGGGGGGGGCGGGGGGAGGCGCGCTGCCTCCCAACGCACCCACCGCCCGCTCCAGGGGCTCCTCGGCGTCGGGGGAGGCAGGCCGGCTTCTGTGCTGAGGTGGCTGCGTCCAGGGTTGAAGGAAGAGGCCGCGATGAGAGGTAAAAGCGGTTGCTGGTCTCCGAGGGGACGGGAGGGGACGGGCGGGGACGGGCAGCATTGGCAGAGGTGCGGAGAAAGCCCGGGCCATAAAGGCCGGGGCTTCGCAGGGCAGTGTGGAGAGCAGGTGGAGTTGGGGTGGGCCTTTGGGAGCTAACAGAGCACGGTGTCCAAGCAGGGCAGGTAGGCCGTGTTGACGCAGCGTGCTTGCCTCTGCGAGCCGGTCCCTTTGTTGGAGACCAGGGGAGGCCCTCCCATACCCCTCAGCCTCCCCCCAGCCCGCGTGGGGCACGTTCTCTCTATCAGGTCTCTGTGCCATGTTTTCTTTGCCACCTGGTGCCATTTACCAAGAGAAGCAGCGTCGCACTCCAGCTGAGGATCTGAGAACCTTCCAAGTGCCGGGGGGAGCACGACGCTGTCACTGCTGCCGGCTCCCACGAGCCTGGCCGGGGCCCAGGAAACAGAGGCCGCCCCTGCCCCCACGGCAGAGCTGAGCAGTCAGTTCCCAACCAGCAGCTAGCAGCCCCCCCCCCCCAGGCCTGCTGCCCCCACCCGGGGAGTGTGGCTGCTCTGTGCCCCGTGCCCTGCCTGGAGGCCACTTCTGCTCGGGAGGCAGTGCCATCGAGAAGTGATTGGAAACCAGTCTTTATGCCCCAGTGGTGCCTGGTGCCGCGGTGGAATCACCACGGTGGAGGGAGACAGGAGACACTGCCTGGCTCCTTACCCATCTCGTGACCTTAGGCAGGTCACTTATCCTCCGGGAGCCTCAGGTTCCTTATCTGTAGAACGAGATCAGGCTAATTAACGCCTTTCCCCCCAGCCAGTGTCAGGACTGAGCATGAGAAACCATTGTTTTAAACATAAGACTTGAAGGTGCGAGCTCTCAGGCTGGCCTCGGTCACAAGGTGGGCAGGCTGGAGGCAGTTACAGAGGGCGGGCTGGCGGGCTGAAGGGATGGGTGGCCTGAGGCTCCTGGAAGAAAGGCCTTTCTGCCCCCCTGAGAGCTGCCACGTCCGTGCTGTGTGAGTACCCGGAGGAAAGAGTGGGGCTTGGGCCCCTGCTGTGTGGATGAGGCATCTGAGGCTCCCATAGGGGCAGGGCCTGTTCAGGTCCCAGCTTCTTTTGTTCCTCCCTGGGGAGGGAGCTCACACTCTCCTCTGGAGGAGATGGCCCAGGCCTGGGCGCTCTGACCCTGATCTAATGGTATTTCCCATTGGAAATTCCTCCCCGAAGAGGGGGAGCCTCCCCAGTGAGGAGGGGGCTTTGCAACATGGCACCCTCAGTGCGCAGAGGCGGGGGCAGCCTGGGACTGGGGCTCAGACAGGGCAACCTGGTCACAGAGGGGAAGTGATGCAGTGGGAAAGGACCCAGCCTCCGAGTCTCACTGTCTCGGGGTCTGTGGCCAACCTGCAGTGTGACCTGGGGCAGCTCACTTCCTGTCTTCCCGTCCCCACAGCCTCTTGAGGTTCTTGTGCGGCTCAGCTGTGCTTGCCCGGTGTATGCCCTCCACAGGCTGCTTGTGCCCAAGGGTGTGGTGGGCAAGGGAGCGCTGGGGAGTTCTTGAGATGAGGGCCTGCCCCACCCCCACATACTTGGTGCTGGGCCAGGCCTACCCGACAGGACCCCAGCAGAAAGGTACCCTTTCCACGAAGTACCTGCTGGCCTGACCTTTCCTCAGTCTTCTCCCCTGGGACCATCAGGATGCTGGTGGAGAATCAGTGTGGAAAGAGTTCTCATAAATCCCTGGAGACTCAAGGGACAGAGGGGTGGAGGGTGGGGACAAGGTGATGGGTGGTCAGGCCCTACCCAGATCTGAGTCCCACCTGACCCTGTGGCCTGAGGGCTGCTGAGGACCAGCTCTGGAAGGGGGAGGGGGTGGGCTGACCCAGGGCCCCTGACCTGGACAGGAGGCAGCCTGCCTTGGAGGCAGCGCTCTTACATCTTAAGAAAATCGAAAGGCATTTGGGGGTCCCTGGGAGGTAACACTCAGTAGATGCCTGTCTGGCTGTATGATGGCCCCGCAAAGTCAGGCCCAGAGGGCTCCCAGGACCTGATCATCCTCTGCTGTGTTCAGCCACAGGCTCCTCAAGGCTCAGGACCGAGGGGCTGCCTGGCTCGTCCCTCTTCCTTCTAACCCTGCTTTCCTCTTGGTAAAGTGTTATTCACGATGCCACGTCCCCTACAGGGTTGAGGCGAGCACTGTGGATTCATGCAGGGCAGTCGGTAAGGGCCACCACCATTTTCCTGGTTGCTGTGCTGTTCCCGGGCCTTGTGTGTCCCCCCCAGACATCCTGGGGGAGTTCATTTCCCCTCCATCCCTCTGCAAGTTCTCAGTAGGTCTTCCCCCATCACCCCCCACCCCCGACACCCTTCCCTCCTGAAATTTTCTCCCCGGCACTTGTCAGCCCCTTACCTACTATATGGTTTCACCATTCTTTGCGGTTGCCGCCGTCTCCCCAGAACTTAGACCAGGGCCTGGGACGTAGTGGATCTCAGTCCGTACTTGGTGAATGAATGGAGGTGTCTGCCCACAGAGTCGGCCTGTGCATCACTCATACGGGACCAAAAGCCTGCAAGGGGGCCCAGAGCCAGCGGCCCTTGTCCCCCTGGGTGATGCCTTGAATGAGGCCTGAGGGAAGGACAGCCCTTGGGGAGGCTCCCTGCGCTCTCACCTCCCCACCCCTACCTTACAGCAGCCTTCCACCTGCTGGCCTGGCGCCCAGGAGATGGGGACTCTCCTGCCTGCAGCTGAGACGCCAATGAGCTGGGGTCTCCATTCTGACCTCCCTTAGAGGGCTGTGTCCTCCATCTCAGGGCCATGTGAGAACGGGGCTGCCCTGGCCAGCAACCCCGAGGAGGGTTAGACTGCGCGCATGTGTGTGCGTGTGTGCGTGTGCCTGTGTGTGCGTGTGTGCGGAGGTGGGCATGAGGGCTGGAAGACCGGCAGCTTGGGCCTGTGAAGATCTGGACAAGGGTTTTGTTAACTGCATCATGGGAGGACGTGTAACTGCCCTCGCACAGCTTGGAGTTGGGGAGAAGGGCCGGGGGCTATTCGGCCCCACGAGGACTTCGTATCGATCCTCTGCCTCTCCTGCCCCTTGTCCTAGTGTCCAGAGGCCCAGGGCCACATTCTTCCCGCTGTCCCCAAGGAGAGGGACTTTCTGGCAGTGTCCTGTTTGTCGGAGCCAAACACACAAGAAAGGCAAAGGGAATCTACCCTGGGGACCCCGGCCGCTCCTGCGACGCAATACGAGATACGAGCAAGCCCACCGGGCCGAGGAGAGCACAGAAGCCAACAGAGCAGCTCACACCGCGTGGCCCCCTTTATGAATCACGGACCCGGCTTTTCCGCGGGTGTCTCCATGAGAATTTAAAAGGCACAAAGCAGACCGGGATGAAAAAGTCCACAGGCCCCCTCCGGGGACAGCAGGGAAATGCCCCTTCTTACTCACACTCTTCTGTATTGTTTGAGGGTTTTTTCATGAGAACGCGTTCAGGTATTACTCACAGAATTACAAATAAAAGCAATTTTGACGTAAGGAGCGCATCCTGGGTCTCGGAGTACTTTCACATCGAGATCTAGGGGGCTGGGCGTCTCTGCCCCCCGGGGACTGCCCCCGCTCGACTCCAGCTGGCAGTTTCCTCCTTTCCCCCACCCCGTCCCCGAGGCATGAAGGGCACCGGCCACGCTTCACGGCCGGGTGGGCACAGACGCTGTCCAGGCTCCCTGCTCACACTGGGGCACCCCTTTGCCCCCCGGAGCCCCTGTTTCCCCATCTGGAAAACGGACTTTATAATATCGTCTGTGTCAGAGCCATTGGGAGGGTGTTTTGGGGGGAATTTGAGGGACAAAGAGCATTGGAGACTCCTTTTTTCCCCTGACCCCAAATTAATTATTTTTTTAAGCAATGCATCAGTGAATGAAAACGTGAGAACACTTAAGAGACATTCGGTTAGGTAGGTTTTTTTTCAGCTACAAAGTCCCTTATTTTCTATTCAGTACCTATGAGGTGATGATATCAAATTATTTAAAGTAAAACCTATAGGGTCGCCTGGCTGGCTCAGCCACTGGAGCATGTGACTCTTGATCTTGGGGTTGTGAGTTCAAGCCCCACGTTGGGTGCAGAGATTTTTAAATAAGTAAATTAACTTAAAAGTAAATAAAAATCTTGGGGCTCCTGAGCGGCTCAGTCGGTTAAGTGCCCAGCTCGGCTCTTGATTTCGGCTCAGGTCATGATCTTATGGTTTGTGAGATTGAGCCCCATATTGGGCTCTGCCCTGACAGCACGGAGCCTGCTTGGGATTCTGTGTGTGTGTGTGTGTGTGTCTCTCTCTGCTCCTTCCCTGCTTGTGCTCTGTCTCTTTCTCTCTCAAAATAAATAAATAAACATGAAAACACTTTTTAAAAAATAAAAATCTTAAATGAGTAAGTAAAAACGACCAAAAGAACAAGAAAAATTTGCAAAAACCATATTGATTTGTGAAATTAACGCCTCTCTCAGTCACCTCACTCAAGAAGTGATGTAGAAGACTTGAATAAAGAAATTCATAATCTAGGGGCACCTGGGTGGCTCAGTCAGTTAAGCATCTGACTCTTGATTTCAGCTCAGGGCATGATCTCACTATTCATGAGTTCGAGCCCCACATCAGGCTCTGTGCTGATAGCATGGAGCCTGCTTGGGATTCTCTGCCCCCGCCCCCCCCCCACAAAATTAAAAAGAAAAAGAAATTCATAATCTTGACTTAAGAGATTGGTAAACTCCAAAATAAGGACTACGTTGAGGATTTAACCTAATATTTACCGTATTGGTCTGTTGGGGAAATTTCTCTTAACTGCAAAGTTGAGATTCAAGGCCTCCCACCCCTTCCCCATTCAGGAGCCGCAAGTGAAGAGGTTTGTCCAGGGTCAGATCGCACACGCCTCTCGCTGTCACCTGCTTTGTCCTGGGCACGTGCTCTGTTCGGGCACAGAGGAGGCAGCGAGTAAACGGTCACTCTTCTTGTCTGGCTTGGGCCCCTGAGGGCCAGCTCCCCTGCGTTCTGCTGGAGCCAGTGCAGCCACAGTGAAACAGAGGTCCACGCAGCCTGTGCAGAAGTGGCTCATGGAAGTGAACTCAGACCGGCCCCACTGGCCCACCCTCTCCCGGGGACGGGGTCCTCACACCAGGTTCCTGCGAGACCCCATCCTCTCCGCCTGAAGGCCTGAGGTTTAAATAAGGTGCCCCGTCCGATGTAAGGGCTCTGCGGTCCTGAGGGCAAAAACTAGTAACAGGCACGACTGGGATGGGGGTGGGGATTCCGCCCCACCCCACCCCCACCCCCACTCCTCTCCAGGCCCCTGACTCCCCCACCCCCTCACCACACACCCACACTCGCACCCACACCCACCATCCCAGACCCACTTCTCCTTTGCAGCTGCCCTGCCGCCTACACCTTCCTGCATTGGAGTTGCTGGCCCGTGGGCAGGGGACGGGGAGGCAGTGCGCTGGGGCCAGCCAACTCAGGGGTCCGCTGAGTCCTCAGGGTCCCCTGAGCCAGAAAGCTGGGGACCAGACTTGCTCCCTCACGCCACAGCATCACTCTTTGCTCCTAAACATCTTCTATAATTTTTATATTTAAAATTTGTTTAAAGTTTAATTTATTTTGAGAAGAGAGAGCGCGCAGGGGAGGGGAAGAGAGAGAGAGAGAGAGAGAGAGAATCCCAAGCAGGCTCCATGCGGCTGGATGTCCCAAACCATGAGATCATGATCTGAGCCGAAATCAAGAGTTGGATGCTCAACCTACTGAGCCACCCAGGCTCCCAGCTCCTAGGAAACTTCCAGGTGGTTCCCCTCCCTGGTCCATGGCATCCTGTCACCAATTCTGCAGCAGCCAGAGAGGGGGTCCTTTCTAAAGCAGAGCTCAGAGAATCCCTCCCTGCACTCAGGCTCCTTCTGGGGCTCCTCACTGCCCAGGAGCCTGAGGCCGAGGCCAGACCCACCTGCCTTCCCTCCTCCTCAGCATCCGCGGAGGCCGAGGCCATGGCCATGCCCATCCCCTCTCACCTCTCTTTGCCTTTGCCCTGGCCAGTCTCTCTGCCCGGAAGCTTTCCCTACCACCTTGCACAGCAAAAGATCTACTGCTGTCCCCAAGCCCTTGCCCCATCCCCTGGACAGTAACTCCTGCCTCTGTGCACCCCCCTCCCCGAGTCCTGAGTGCTTAGGGGTCTGGGATGGCTCACCATGTCTAACCCCTGTCCCCAGGGAGGGGCAGCAGATGTCAAGGAAGGCAGAGGGGGCCTGTCTATATGTCTGAGACTCAATCTGAGAGAGACGTGGATGACAGCCGGGGGGCGGGGGGGGGGAACCCAAACACTGGAGAGTAGAGACAGACAGAGGGACCTCAGTGAGACACAGTGGCCAGCAGGCCAGGACACACAGCAGCCCTGGGAACCAGGAGCTGGGACGGGCAGGCCACCCGCTGGGTCTTGGTCTGTCTGTTCATCTGTTGGTCTGAGTTTCCCTCCTGCCTAGGATCTGGAGACTGAGCTGTCTGTCCTTGAACCCTCGGCTACCCTCCCCCTCCCCTGACTGTGCTCTCTACTCCAGCCAGAGGGTCCCCACTGTCACGCAGATCTGACTCTGACACTCTCTGCTTAAAGCCCTGCACGGCTCCCCAGTGCCCAGCCAAACAAAGCCCCTTAACCCTCAGTTGAGAGCCCGGCCCAGTCCTCTAGCCCAGCACTCTCTGGGCCCCTCCTCTGTCATGCTCCCCTTGGCCTCCCTCTACCCGGCAAACACCTCCTCATCACCTCCCTCCCCCATCCATGTCTGCTGCTGCTGTGAAGCAGTCTTTCCCTGCCTTCGAAGAACTGCCCTGGAAGGGCAGGAAGTTTCCCCAGAAGATGAGGCAGGTGAGGTGAGGGGGTCACGGCGCTGGGGACGGTCTGGGGCTGTGGCTGGCCTTGGGGAGAAGGACGGGGGAGGCCACCCAGAGGTCTGTGTCCTGGCTACAGGGGACCATCCTTCGCTCCCCAAGAGAAGGCCCCCATCTGAGCCCCAGCGCCGGCCCAGCGCCCAGCAGAGGGCCCGCCCAGTGGGCATCTGGGGGTGATGGTTGAGTGGTTGAGTGGAGGAACCACAGGTAGAAAGAGAAGGTGTGGGGTGCGGGGCCTTGGGGCCCTGGCTGAGAGTGGTCCCACCCCAGCAGGCAGGAGGGCGGGGCGCAGTGGGTGGCGGCCCCTCCTGGTTTCCTCCCCTGGCTGCTGCGGCCAGACTCAGTCCCGGTGCGGCAGGCAGCATGGGCAGCAGGAGGAGAGGCGCCAGGAGCCTGCGGGGCAGGGAGGGGCCGGGCCCCACCAAGTGTGCGGTGGACACGTGCTTTGACCCTCTGGTCCGAAAGTGCGTGGACTGCAAGCTCCTCCGGACGCCAGAACTGGGACCGGGTAAGAGTCGACACACTTGGCCAGCTGGTCAGCAGCGCAGCCTTAGGGAGGGGGAGGAGGGTCCGCCGCCGGACCCCTGCCAGAGCCCCAGGCATGGCCCCCGCCTGCCCCAGGATGGGAGGGGGGCAGTGGGGGGTGGGGACTGGGTCGATGGGGGGCTGTTAGCAAGGGCCTGGATGGGGACGAGCGGTCACCACGTGGCCCTCACCGCCCCCTCTCTTTCCCCTCCCCTGTCCACCCCTCCCGGCCCTCCCTCCCCTCCCTGGCCCAGCCTCGCCTCCTCCCGACCCTGCCCCTCCCCGGCCGTCCCTCCCCTCTGCCCCCTGCTCTCCCTCCCCGTCCGCTCCGCCAGCAGCCGGGCTCGGCAGCCTGGTGCCCGGGACGGCGCTGCAGCCGCAGGAGTCGGTGGGCGCGGGGGCCGCCGCCGAGCCGGAGCCCGAGGCCGCGCTGCCGCTGCCCGCGCTGCTCTTCGGCGCCCCCGCGCTGCTGGGGCTGGCGCTGGCCCTGGTCCTGGCGGGCCTGCTGAGCTGGCGGTGGCGGCGGCGGCGGCTGCGCGCGGCGGCTGCCCCGGGGGCCCCGGACCCGCACCCGCACCCGCATGGTGAGTTCTGCGGGAGTGGGGGCAGTGGGAGGGAGACGGGCCCCGGGCAGTGTGGAAGAGGGGTGGCTTGGGGGGGCGGTGCGCGGGGCACTAGGGCGGCCTCTGACGACCTCAGGCTGAGTCTGAGCGAGGGACACAGCTCTAGCTTCCCAGGGCCCTCTGAGCAGGAGACACAGGGCTCCCACACTTCTCCCTTCCGCCTGCTCTCCCCATTTTGCCAGCGCCCTCTGCACTTCCTGTCCTGAGGGCCCATCACGTGCCACCCCTCCCCACCCCTGCAAGAGGGGCTTCATGACTTATCTCTCAGTCCAGGGTGTCCCTCCAGTGCAGCTTCCAGAACAGGGGTGGGGAAAGGCTGTGATGCAACCCTGATCTTGCATTTCCTGCCCCCCTCCCACCAGAGCCCCTGGACAATGTCATCATCCACCCCCCGAAATCCCTTGATGCCACAGCTCCTGTCTGGCCTCCACCCAGAGAAGACCCAGCCAACACCCCACCTGCCCACAGCGTCCCTGTGCCAGCCACAGAGCTGGGCTCCACTGAGCTGGTGACCACCAAGACTACTGGCCCTGAGCAACAGTAGCGACGGAGGGGGCAGGAGGCGGCCCCTGTCCTCTCTGCGAGACGTCAGCCAGGGGCTTGGAGGTTGGATGCGGCTCTTCACTGCAGTGCCCACCTGCCCCTTTTCTGGGAACCTGGCCGCTCCCAGCTAACCCTGCAGAACCATGGACCGCAGACCACAGGGCTCAGCCGGCATGGCGTCCGGCTCGTTAGCATGTGGCATAAAACCAGACCATCTCTGGCAGCCGTCGGAGGTGGTGGCTAAGCTCCCGTGCCTTTGAGTGGCTGGGGCACTCTGCGTAGGAGGTTTTTCTTTAAGTGCAGGGAAGCCACCATAAGCCAGAATGAATCTAGGAAAATGATGGAGTGGGAGGATGCTTAATTTACAGCTGGGTGTTGTATTTCTTTAATACTTGCTCTCGGAGCTGTCCTGCTTTAAAGCTGATGCAAATGGCAGTGATGAGTAACCAACTGAGTGGTTTGCTTTAGGGTTTAATATAAGGTGATTTTAACAAATAGCCTGGATTGTGCTAATTCTCGGATATCTGTACCCCAGGGACAACCCTGCGCCTGGCCCTGTCTTCTAAGACCTATGATGCCTTTTTCACCCTGGGAGCAGCTTCCAGAGCCCCCAGTTTGCATCGTGAGAGGAAGTGTCTGGCCCCTCTGGGGCTGGACTGCAAACTCACCTGTCCCTCAGAGACCACCTGGGGTCCCAGCTGCCTCTAGGGCACACTCAGCTGTGCAGAGGGAAAGGCCCAGGGCCTGCAAGAGGTTCCTTTGTTCAGAAGTCAGAGCAGGCCGTGGCCTTGAACCAGCTGGACCTGACGTCCCTTGAGCTCCCCTCTGTCTCTGGTCCACCCTCCTCAAGCTAGGCCCCGGGTGCTGGGGTCACTTGGCCATTCTATGCCAGGTCCTGGGATCACCCATCATCCCAGGGGAATTGCTCCTCTGACAGCAGTGCCCTTGCTCTGGGGCCTGGGGCTGAGACCGTCTCCTCTAGCTGTGGAGCACGTTACACTTGGTCAGGCGCTGCCTCTCCTACCGGCCCTCCTACACAGAGTTAGGAACTCCGGACTCGGATTCTGTCCTGGACAGTCCTTGGACCTTGTCACAGCCTAGCATCCTCACAAGGAGCATGGACTAGAAGTCAGGAGACGGGGCTTTGGGTACCATTTTGTCTCACTGGAGGGCCTTGGCCGTATTCTGTTCCACGCATCAGATGCTTTCCGCCCACCTCTCCCTGACATTCCCGGCAGACACCCCCCCTTCCTGCCCACCCCCTCCTCAGCCCAGAAGATGGTCCGGAGCCCCCGGGACCCTGACACCCACAGTGAAGTCTTCCTAGCCACTCCCTCCCTGAATGCATCCCAAGGGCCCCTACCCCGCGGGCTGCCAGGAGGCTGGGGTGAGGTCAGGTGGCTGGCCGGAGGCAGGAGGGTAGGAAGGAGGCCCCGACATCCCGTCCCCTTCAACTCAGGACTGGGGCGTCTGCGCTGTTCCTCCTGGCCGCTCTTACCTCCCACTCATCGTTTCCATCACAGTCGGGGACTGGGCCCTGGAGGTAAAACACGTGGGTAAAACCCCTCTGGGGTCCAGACATGCAAACCTCTGGCACCACTGTGTCCCAGCCAAACCCCAGCTTCCCCTCTGGTCTTGGTTTCCATTTCTTAAAAATGGGGGCTGGATGCAGGGTGCTCCTCTGGGCTTATGGCCCTCAGAGGGGAAGGACTGGAAAGAACCTTAGAGTCCTTACCACACCCCCCTCCATGTTATAGATGAGGAAACTGAGGCCCAGAAGAAACAGGCTTCCTTGGGTGAGAACCAGGAGCAGAGGCAGGGGGAGAGGTTGGCAAAGAGGGGACCAGTCTCCCCCAGGCCTCAGTAAGGGACCCCACCACCCAGGGGCCTCCAGTCTCTGGCTGTCTGTCCTAGGCAGTGCTTTCTAAGGAGCCTTCATGATGTTACTGCATTTGATCTTAATGACAGCACTTGGGGGAGGAGCATGGTATTTGTTTGCCTTAAAAAAGTTTTGTTGTTTTTTTTTATTAGAAAAAAAAATCGAGGGACGCCTGGGTGGCTCAGTCGGTTAAGTGTCTGACTCTTGGTTTCTGCTCAGGTCACGATCTCATAGTTCATGGGTTCGAGCCCCACATCGGGCTCCATGCTGACAGCGTGGAGCCTGCTTGGGATTCTCTCTCTCCTCCCCTCCTCTCTGGCCCTCCCCCTGCTCGCTTTCTCTGTCTCTCTCTCTAAGTAAATAAATAAATAAATAAGCCTTAAAAAAATCAAGACATATGATTTGTTGATATTTTGGAAAGTTCAGGAGAGTAATCCAAGGTGGAGTCTATGGAGAAGTGACCCATAACCCAGTAACATCAGGCCCCTGAGGTGGCTTCTCTATATAATTATCAGCATTCCACACACAGAAATTCATATTTTGGCTGTCATATTTGGTGAGTTTTCTCTTTAAATACTTCGCAAACAAGGCTTTCAGTATTTGTAAAGTTTTCTGCTTAAGCCTTTGGTTGATTTTGGTTTTTACTCTTGTAGCTGAGGCGGGAGTACCTCCTTGACATAAGTTTTTGCCCAAGTTTTTTTTTTTTATGGCCCCTATTGGTTGAATCGATTTCCTGAGAATCTGATTTCCTGAAAATCTAAATTCTGTTCATGTCTGTGAACAGGGATTAGGTGTCCCATTTTGCAGATAGGAAAAAAGAGGCCCAGGAGATGAAGGGATCTGGCCCAGCCACACTAAGAGCTGGGCTAGATCCACACTCCTGCCCATGCCCAGCTCGCCTGCCCAGACGGTTGGTGGCCCAGGCGCCCTGCTTGCGAGTGCGGACTCCAGAGATCGATTCCAGGCTTTCCGTCTTGTTTTCATCACTACTCAGATTTCTCTTCCCCAGCTGGTCTCTTCTTCCTGGAAGAGGGGCCCAAGACAGACTTTGGAAAAACCGCTTGTTGGAGTGGGAACCGAGGGAAGCAGCTTCCCCTCCCCCAAGCCTGTGTTTCTGGCCAGTTTTTCCTGAAGGAGGGTCTGGTTTCCCCGAGGTCCCCAGGGCCCAGGGGCCCGGGCAGGTGGAGGCGGGGCTGGCTCAAGTCTCAGTTCCTCCTGGGGCTTCCTGCAGGCACTTTTCACTTCCTGCCCAGCAGCCCTGGGCTCTGGGCTCCTGATGGGGGTGGGGAGGCCCAGCTGGGGAGGCCAAGGGCTTGACCCCTTACCTCCCGCCTCTCAGCAAGGATGGCCCCACACAGCCCTTGCCTTTAGAAGCTGGTGGCATCACTCTGAGCCCGTCTCATCTTCAAAATGGAGCCCAAGGGCCAACCAGCTGTCCGAGATTAAAGAGGTCATGTGGCAAGTAGGGTCTTCACCCTGGAGTGCCTCCATCTCCACCTTTCCCTGGGGTGCAGACACTTCCTGCCCAGAGCCCCCAACCCTCAGAAATTCTCCTGGAAAGCGAGTTTCCCAGAGCTGGTCTGAGGCTCTAGGCTCAGCAGTTACCACTCCATCACTCGTCCATTTACTGCCCCACGGATCACGCCAGATCCGAACACACCCGCTCTGTGCCAGGGCTGTTCTGGGCAATACGTGGAGTGCGGCTTCAGGCCCTGCCATCAGGCCCTAGTCCAGTGGGAGAGATGGAGCGAGACACAGTGACAGCACAGGGAGGGCCCCAAGCAGGGAGGTCACGAATCCAGGATCTAGAGCATTCTTTGGACCATAGGAGGTATGCCCTGAGTCTTGCCCAGTTTTCCTGCTGGAATGGAGCAGAGAACGGGCGCTCCTGGCCCAGGGGAGTGCAGGCAAAGGTACAGAGGAGAGGGCACAGAAGGGGTGGAGAAGCAAACCACAAGGGGAGGGGCTGCAGAGTTGGGCACCATGGCCTCTGAGTGCCTGGTGAGGCTGTGCCAGAATCTTCTTGATACATAAGGGCACCCATCCTCAGGGAACCCAGGTGCTTCTCCAGCCTCACCATTTAGTGTCTTACCTTTCCCTGTCCCGTCCCCTCTGAGAGCCTGCAAGACCCCCCTGGCGCTCCTCTGGGCACAGGGTGGGGACTCACCCCCATGTGCTCTTTTCTGGGTGGCTCAGGCCACATTCTTCCTCACCCAGGGCTGAAATCTGACCTCCCTCCAATCTGTGCCTGCTCCGCAGCTGCCTGGTCCCGGCCTGGCGCTAAGGGTGGGGGTGGGGTAGGACCGACTACCCAAGGTCACGCGAAGAGAGGGTCAGGGAGGAGCCAGGAAGACACAGATGCCCACGTCCCCCGCCCATGCTCTTTCCCGGGACTCTGTAGGGCGGGGGAGCTGCCCTGGAGACGCTACAGGGGTCCCGGGGCCCAGAGGGCCTCTGAACGTCTCCTCCGTCCCTTGAGCTGCAGAGAGTCTGGGATCCAGGAAGATGCCGACCCCTCCGGGGCAGGTGAAAGTCTCTCTCCGCAAGCCCTGCGGTCAGTCCAGCAGGTGGCCCCTCGACTGCCGCCGCCCGGCGCGCGCGGGGGCAGAGCTGCGGGGACGCGCTGGGTGGGACCCGGACGAGAGGCGGGGCTGAGGGCGGGGCCAGGAAGGGAGGCCGGGCTGGGGGACCCCAAGTCTCAGCGGAGCAGGACAGGGGCGGGGCCAGGGCAAGTAGAAGGCGTGGGCTCAAGGCCGGGGAGAAAGGGCGGCGCCTGGTGAGCCGCTGCACGGGGAGCAGCGCCCTCTCCAAACCCCGCACCTCCACGCTCCCGCGGGGCTCCCGCGGGGCTCCCGTCCTCGCGTGCGTTCCGTGCCAGGAGAGACCCTGGATGCAGGACATGCCCCCGACTCTGGGGCGAAGTGTCTATGTCGAGGGGGGCAAAGCTCTCCCCCCCAACCCCGGGCTAGGAGCCGACCTCAAAATTGTGTCCAGGACCCGGCAGGCAGGTGGGACAGGGCCAGCCTGTTCCAGGTGGGTGGACGCACTGTGTGGCCTCCGCTGAGCCCTGTCCTTAGTGCCCAGCTCCGGATTTGCCTGTTCACTGGGGCCTTTCGAGGGTCCTGAAGGGGCGACTAATGCGGGTAGTTCAGGTAATTCCAGCTGTGATGTCCGGAGCACGACTCCCTGCGGCAGGGGGAGGGGAGGGTCAGGGAGAAGGTGCGCGGGGTCCAGAGGCTACACCCCAGCTCCCGGCACCGCTTCCCTCCCCCATGCCGCTCCCTCGCGACCTCAGCCAGGGCGCCCCCTCCCTCCCACAGGCAGCTGGAGCCTGAGTCACGAGCTGCCTCTTGAGAGACAAAGGAGCCACGGGCCCTCCCCTCCAGACCCCCTCCCGGTACTGGCATAGGCATCTGTGCCAGCAGGGAGTCCATAGTTCTCTAGAATCTCTGCTTTTTGGGTTACCCTCCTTCATGGAAGAAATGGAAACAAAATGGGCTTGGGAATGTGGCCTTTGAGGCTTGTGGATGGCACCCATAGCGGCCATCACCACCTCAGCACGGTGGCGGCGGCGGCGGGGGAAGCTCCCGCCGGACTGTATGTTCTCCTGTGTTTCTCCATCTGGGGCCGGTTGGCTTCTCCCTGCAGCCCTGCTGAAGAGGTGCTAGCAGCCCATCCTGCAGATGAGACAACTGAGGCCTAGAAAGCCTGAATGGCCCTATTAGAGCAGGAATTCCAACCCACATTAGTCTGGCTCCAAAATGAAGGATAAATAGGAGCTGTGTGAGGGGCTGCAAAGGCATTGCAGGAACGGAGAAGAGCCTGTGGAAGGCTTGGGGTCTCCCGTAGGGGTCCGGGCACAGCAGCACGGAGTGTGTTATCAGGGTGCAGGAACACTTCCCTGGGCTCCGGGCTGGGGTCCTACGAGCTGCTCTTCCTTTTTGTACTAACCTGGCCAGAAGGTAGGTTTGGGACTCACAGCGCAGGTGTCAAGCGAGACCCTGCCCTTCTGGGCTGCGTGCCAGTCACGGCAAATCATTTCCCTGCTCTGGGTCTTGGGTCTATGTCTAGGAAATCTCAAATTCCCTGGCCCTCGGCTGGGCAGACTGGTCACGGACCCACAATCTAAAATGGAGACAGCGATGGGGCGCCCGGGTGGCTTAGTCGGTTGAGCGTCCGATGTTCGCTTAGGTCATGATCTCGCGGTTCGTGGGTTCGAGCCCCGCGTCGGGCTCTGTGCTGACTGCCAGCTCAGAGCCTGGAGCCTGTTTCAGAGTCTGTCACTCCCTCTCTCTCTGACCCTCCCCTGCTCACACTGTCTCTCTCTCTCAGAAATAAATAAAAAAGAAAAAAGAATTAAAAAAAAAATAAAATAAAATAAAATGGAGACGGCGAGGCCCATCCTGGGCTTTCCCTGATGTCCATGACCTCTCAGGACGTTGAGCCTTGCACGGCCAGAGCTGGGCACCAGGCAGGGCTCAACAGTGCAGGAAGAACACGTGTGCACAGGCGCCTCGGCCCTGACACACATGTGTGTGCACATGCCCATGGTGGAGGGAAGGCCCTCAGAATCACGCTAGCACCAGACATGCACTCTGGCTCACGTTCACGAGCACATTTAGACACCCTCACACTCACGCTGCCAGAACTCAGAGCTGGGGGCGGGGCGGGTGCCCTTCAGGCACGGAAGACACACGGCTCCTCTGCCCGCCCCACGGGGCTCGCTGCAGATGCCAGGGGTTATTTTAAGCCTGGATCAATGGGCGATTTTTGGTGACACAGGCTTGGGGGGGGGGCAGGCAGAGGAAACAAGAGGCAGGTGCTCTGGCGCCCTGCTGTGGAGAGAGACCCCCGGAGTCCAGAGAGGACCGCCTGGGCAAAGGGGCCACTCCTCTGCCGAGCTGCTCCATTTCTAGATCCCCTCACCCGGCAAATGTCTGGGCACCTGAGGGGTAGTGCCATGTGAATGAATCGCCAGACCCCAAGACTCAGCCAGTCAGCCGCGGTCTGTGTCTGCATTTGTCTTCTTCCCCTGTTCCCCCTCTGCCACCCAACCCCAGGCTGTGCGTTCATATGAAGAGGGCATTAAGTGCCTGACATGGGTCTAGTAGATGTAGGCACCTATGGTTGCTGGGTGACCCTGAACCAGACTGAGATAGAGAAGAAGCCATGGGTGTGGGGAGGAACTGGGGGTTGGACCTCAGTTCCTGGGGGTGGGGGAATGGAATACACCAGCCAGCCAGCTCCTTCACTGGACAAATGAAGATTTTATATATATATATATATATACATATATACATATATACATAATATATATATGAGGGACCCAGGCAGGGGACATAATTCAGGGAAGAGCATTAGGAGCTCTGGGCCAAGTGGAATCACCCTACCTGGGAAGAGGCCACAGTGCCGGGGGGGGGGGGGGGGGGGGGGGGGGGGCAGTGACAAGCCTTTGTAACCTAGTGCCCAGCAAGAGGGTGGGAAAGGGGGAGTAAACAGTCATCCTCAAAGGCCCAGTAACCCAGAGGGCAGCTTAGCAGTGTGCGGTGGGGGCGCTGACACAAATCTGACAGTCTGTGCCTTTCTAGGACTCCCACCCCCAGAGGAAGCAGGAAAAGTCTGCACCAGAAAATACAGCGACTAAGTTCTAAGCTGAATAATAAACGGAAAGTTTGACAGCAAAAAGTAAACTAAAAACCAGTCACTGAAAAACAGTATGTAAAAATGGGGCATATTTTAGCATGAGCCGCCCCTGGTGATGCGATTAAGGCAATTTCATTTCATTCCTTTGCTTGTCTACTTTCTGTATCTCTAAAATTGTAATAAAGTCTTCTAACGGGGTGGGGGGGGTAGGGTCTTCCGAACTGGATCAGAAGTGTGTTGTGGGCAAGGGGGGAGGGAGCAGGCTATCTCTGGACAGGGCGCAAGGAATGCCTTTCACCGGGAGGGCATCTCCGCTACTAATACCTGAAATTAGCCTGTCAGCCCCTCATCTCTGCTACACAAGGACCTGATCCTCCTTTAAATGTAAATCCTTCTCCCTCTTCCTCCCTCCCCTTCCTCCACTTTTATAAGCTGATCCCAGTCGCTGAGTGAAGACACGATGCAAAGGGGAGCAAGAGACGCCCTAGGAGCCCGAATTCTTCATTTTATAAAAACTGGAGACTGAAGCCACTTCATCCATTCGCTCAGCAGATCGGCCTGTGTGTGCACGCTGGGGGGAGGTGGACGCCCAGCCCTCGGTCTCCTGACGCTCTCGTCTGGACAGTAGGAGGCACCATATTGATCCTTGCCTCCTGGAACAGGCGGATTATGAATCTACGCCCCCCCTTCCGCCCCAGGAAAAGTTTTTGATGTTAAGATGAGAAACTGAGGCAGAGAGAAGCCCCGGCCCGGGCACACTTTCCTGTTAAACCCAATTTGGAAAACACCAAGGCACGGCTCCGTGACAGATCCAAGTTGCGTACCGCCTTCCACCCCCTTCTCCCCTCGCGGGCCAGAGGACCAGAGCTTCCTTCGGGGGGCGGCGCGGAGGGGCCGCCGGTGACCCCTGACCCGGCCCCGCCCTCCTCTTCGGGGTCCAAGTCCTGCACAATCTCCTCCCCTTCACACTTGGGTAGCGAAGAGATCTCGGGAGAACGCGGCCCAGGCCACGTCCATCGCCATAGAAGGGGGGACACCCCAGGACTCCAACCCGAGGCCCAGGAGGTTCTGGGACCCGGGCGCGCGCCCCGGGGTTAACGCGGGGCCCCAGGCGGCACGTAGGAAACGAATACTTGTCCTTCTGCAGTGGCTCTGCTTGGGGCTTCTTTCCCATTTGAGAGGCGGGAACATCGAGGCGCAGAGAGGGCCGGGGCATGCCACATGTTACACTTGTGTCGCGGTCAGAACTGACAGAATGGGAAGGAGGAAGAGGGGCGGGGGCGGCAACGACCCTCCCGGGGCCCCTCCGTCCCCTAAGTCCCCGCACCTGTGAAACAGAGGCGCGCTCACGCGGGCCTGCGTCCGAAGTGACAGACCCGAGAGTCATAAACTGAAGGGTCTGGAGCTCCTAGCTCCGGGGGGATGTTTCGGGGAGGCCTTCGGGGAGGGTCCCCGGCGGGGCGCCCGGGCTGTGCGGGCCCTGCCGCGCCCCCTCCCTCCCCTGGCGGCGGCCGCGCTCCTCCCCCGGCTCTGCCTCCCGCCCGCCCGCCCTCCTTCCCGCGCTCCCTCCCTCCCCCGCCCGCCCGAGCCCGCGCGGAGCCCGAGCCGCAGCCAGAGCGCGGGCAGCGCGGAGCGGGCGGCGGGAAGGCAGCGGAGTCGGGCGGCCCCACCGCCCCCGCCAGGCCCCGGGCCACGCGCACCCGCCAGGCCGGGGAGCGGCCGGGGACGGCGCGCAGGCGAGGGAGGACTCGCCGCCAGGCCCGGGGTAGGGAGGGGGCGCGCCTCGGGGGCGAGGGCTGCCCGCTCGGGTCCGAAGTGAGTGCCGGCGGAGGACGCGCCCACCGGAGGTGCGGCCCAGCGGGCTCCGGGGCCCGAGGAGGAAGGTGACGGCCGGGGAGGCGCACGCCGGGACCGGCGCCCGGGCGGCGGGGCCAGCGCGGTGCCTGAGCGCGCGGAGGAGCTGGCCCGGAGGCCCGGCGGGAGGGAGCCGCGGCGCGCCGCCATGCGCCGGGCGCTGTAGCCGAAGGCGCGGGCCCGATGGAGCGGGCCGGGGCGCGGTGGCTGCGCGGCGGCCGCCCGCCGGGGCTCCGGCTCGCGCTCGGGCTGGCGCTGCTGCTGGCGCGGCCGCCGTCGGGCCGCACGGGCGCCCCCGAGGCGCAGGAGCCCGCGGCGCCCGGCACGGCGGCCCCGGCGGGGGGCGACCGCTGCCGCGGCTACTACGACGTGATGGGCCAGTGGGACCCGCCCTTCAACTGCAGCTCGGGCGCCTATAGCTTCTGCTGCGGCACGTGCGGCTACCGCTTCTGCTGCCACGACGGGCCGCGGCGCCTCGACCAGAGCCGCTGCTCCAACTACGACACGCCGGCTTGGGTGCAGACGGGCCGGCCACCCGCGCGCGCCCGCGACGCCGCCGCGCCCCGGGACCCGGGCCGCGAGCGCAGCCACACGGCCGTCTACGCGGTGTGCGGCGTCGCTGCGCTGCTCGTGCTGGCCGGCATCGGGGCGCGCCTGGGCCTGGAGAGGGCGCACAGCCCGCGCGCGCGGCGCACCGTCACCAGGTGAGCGCGCGCCAGCCGGGGCCCGGGGTCCGGCTCCGCGGTCCCCGCCGGTCCCTACCGGACGGTGCTTCCCGAAGGGTGGGCGCCCCCTCGGCAGCCTTCATCCTTCCTGCCCGTCCGTAAATTCTGGTCCTCTCAGCAGCGCCCTCCTCCTGGGCTTTCCTTCCTGGCACAGTCTCCAGGTCTATTCGCCCCCCCACCCCCCCCGCCCGACTTCGTGGAGTGACACAGGTGATACCTTCTCCCCTTGACCTTCCGGAGGGAGCTGGGTGCTGAGGCGTGAGCTGGAGTGGGCCCGAGGACTGGTCGCCCGGACAGAGGGCACAATGACCACACCCAAGAAAGGGAGTCTGGGTACCGGGTGGGGGCGTGGGCTGATGAGCTTAGGGCGTCTTGGGCCCCCAGAGTAGGGCATTTTCTGTCGCTCTCTTAGGTCTCCCTCCTCCTGCTTCTCTCCCCACTTTTCCGCCTCTCCTTCCACTTCCGTCCCCCCACCCCCTTTCCCACCCCCATAGCTGTGACTCAGGCCTGACCTTCTTTCCCTGGGGAGAAGGTCTCCCCAACCCGCCCTACTCAGTACACGCCCCCTCCCCCCACCCCAGGCAAGGGTCAGGGTCTCTCCCTGTGTAGAAAGAGCCAAAACGTGGCAGACACAGTTTAGCTGTTGCTGAGGCCAGGACAGGTGCTGCTTGAGTCTGAGCTTTGCGAGGAGTGGGCTCTACAGGACCCAGGTTCCCTTTGTCAGCTAGAATGGGGACTCCGGGATTCGGTGTCCTCACCCTGGAACCCTCACCCTCACCCACACCCCCCCCCACACACACACACTCACATCCCCCCGGCCACCCCCATGTCTTGGGGCCTCTGCTCTCCTCACCTACCCATATCTGGGCTCCCTTGGGTGTGCGACAGGCTGGTATTCAGAGGTGACAATAGAGAGAAGCCCCCAGGCCTGAGTGCACCAGGTATGGATGCTTCTGCCTTGGAGACTTGAGGGGCAGGGGATGAGGGCTTCCCAGGCACTCCGCAGCACCCCTGTCTCCCAGACCACGTAGCCCACCCCCTCCTAGACAGCTGCAGCGCAGAGCTAGGGGGTGCTGGGCTCAGCTACCGCGCTGCCTCGGGCGATGTGGGGGGCTCTCCTCCTGCGTTCTGGATGCCCGGAGCTTGGAGTCCCGTATGCAGGACCAGGAGAAAACAGGGCATGCCCTTGACTAGGCCGGGGAGCAGGAGCTGAGGGCCTTGACGGCGTAGAGGGGGCGGCTGGGGCGGTCTAGCTGATGCACTCACCTAGAAGCCACTTCATCCACAGGGGACGGTGAAGCAGGTCTGGTGATGCCTCAGGAAGAGCTGGCCCACCCCCCATGTGCTGTGTGGCCTAGGCCAGTCCCTTCCTCTGTCTGGGCTTCAGCTCCCATGTGCCCCCTTTGTTCTCCGGGGAGACCTGGAGCGCAACCCGAGCTCATGTGTGGGTGTGTGCGGAGCCCCTGCCCCCTCCCCAAGTCTCACCCTTCCTTCTGCCGTTTTGAGGTCGGCGGTCAGTGCCCCTCCAGCTCAGAGGGCTTGGAAGGGAGCTGGAGTCTGTCCCTAGAGAAGGTTTGTGCAGAGGCCCAGAGGCATGGAAAGTACGCAGGTGTCTGGGAGGGCTGGCTGGGGGAGCCTGTCATAGAGATGAGGCCACAGGGCTGGGCAGCTGAGGCGTGAGCAGGGCCTGAAGGTCAGGTTAGCAGGCACTAGAAGCCTTTGGGCCGAACAGCACCTACCCTAGGCTTCCCGCCTCTAGTGTGCTTCTTCGTGAATCAGCCATGAGTCCTCAGCACCTCCACCCCCCACCCGCGAAGGTGAGAAGGTCAGAGTGAGCCAGAAGAAAATCATGGATTCTGGGCACCACAAAGCAGCTGGGCTGAAGGCTGGGTTTCGCTGTCTGCAGGGAAGGCTCAGTCAGACACTGTCACAGCTGGGTAGGGCCGGGCGTCCTGGTACCAGGGAGGTGGCTGCCCAAGGTCACATAGTCTTCGGTGCTGGGCTTCCACCTTGGGCTCTCCTGGCTCCTCCCTCCCCTTACGTCTGGTCTGTTCTCCCCTCCGTGCCTGTGTGGCAGCTTTGCCCCGGGACTCAGCAGAAGCCCCTGCTGCAGGAAGGGAGTTACGTTAGGCAGATAAGGAAGGCTTCCTGGAAGAGGAGGGATTCTGGTGGGGTTTGAAGAATGAGTAGGGGTTTTGTGGGAGGAGATGGAGGTAAAGATTGTTGGCATGGGGAGCAGCAGAGTAAGCAAAGTCCGGGAGCCTGATGCACTTGCAGAGCTTTCTTTGGGAGACGAGGAATGGCCTCTGGGAGCTGGGGAGTCTTTGGAAAACAAGGTAGCCCTGGTGACACGTGACCCCTGTAGAGTTTCCTGACCTGCTCTGGAAGCGGCCATGTGTTGGGCCACAGGTCACGACCGATAGTAGAAACTGGATGTGTGAGAACAATCACAGGGCAGAAGGGGGGCCCGGAGAGGTTGAGCGGGGGACAGTGGCCGAATGACTGGCCTTGGGTAGGCCCGGGGCCTGGCCAGTGGGGGGGGCAGGAGGTTGAGAGGGCTGCCTCTCATCACTCTTTCCCCACAGGACACTGACAGAACTTCTGAAGCAGCCGGATCCCCAGGAGCCGCTGCCTCCACCTCTGGGCCCACCGCTGGGCAGCTGTGTCCAGGTGCAGGTGGGGGACGGCCTCCCCCGGGGCTCCCCCAACAACACAGGTGTGCAAGCTGCTGGGCCGGCACATTCGGTCTACAGCACTGGGCGCCCCTTGCCTGAAGTGGGCCTGGGAGCAGAGGAAGGGGTGTGCGAGGAGGGAGAGGCTCTTGGCTGAACGAGCTGCCTGCCTCTGCAGGTGTGTGAGTGGGGGCTGGGCAAGCCGGTCAGCTCACCTGGGTGGAGAGAGACCCTCTGAGGTGTCCCGCAGCTTCTGGTCAAGGGCACTCTGTGAGGAAGGCTCGAATCAGGGATCTGGAATCAGGCTGTGGGTCTAGGCCTTGGCTCAGTGCCCCGGGGGTGAGCCTGGCACCAGCCTGTGGATGCCCGTGGGCCTTTCCCTAAAGTTGGAGCCTCCCTCTTGGGCTCTTGCTGGTAAGTTGGTCTTCACAGCAACACCCCTCACCTCCCTATATGGTTCTAATTCTCAGACGTTAATGCCATCTCCTGAGAAGCAGGTCCTGGGACCCAGTGCCTGGCCCAAGTTGAACATGCCGAGGAGTCACCCGTTAGGCTAGCAGCCACTCAGGGCTGCTCCTCATCTCGTTATTCTGAGCCAGGCCTGGCTCCAGGCATCGGCGATTCTGCCTGGAAGTTAGGTTTGGCTCTCAGTCCCCCCAAGTAACCATCCCCCAAGTTCTCATCAGGGAGGGGGCGGCGAAGAGGTGGTAGTGCAGGTGGAGAATGTCCTCCAGGCAGCAGGCCGGGTCTCCTCTCCCCCACCCCGCTCCAGACAAGAAACGCCCCAACAACGCACCCCTGGGGTCAGCGACACCAGGCCCCCTGCGTGGTCCCAGGCTGCAGGGCGGTGGCAGCATGACGCTGCAGCCGGACTACGCCAAGTACGCCACCCTCAAGGCAGCCACCCTCAAAGCAGCCGCGCTCAAGGCCGCAGGTGAGTGGCGGGGTCTGTGCGGGGAGAGCCCGGCGCCGCACCCCCTAGATGAGAAGGCTCGGGGTCCCGTTTAGAGTCCCGCAGTTCCCAGCCTTCCGGGTCAGCGCTCCAGCCAACTATTGTATCGCGCCTACGCCGCCAATCGGCTCCCGTGCCTCGGCAGTGTCGCGCCCCTCGCCGGGCCACCAGGCCGTCACCCCACCGGGGCAGCCGGAGCCCGGGGGCGTGGACACCCGCGTCTCCCGAGCCCGGTCCGGGGCCTGTCCTGCCCGCGAGGCCTGACCCGCCCCGCCCCACCCGAGAGAGGCCTAGGCCCCGCCCTTGCGGCGTGGCCTCTCCCTGCCCCGCCCCGGGGTCGCTGGGGCCCCGCCCCCTGACCTCGCCCCCTGGCTCGACCCCACTGTCCCCGCAGAAGCCACGCCGCAGGACTTCTACCAGCGTTTTCCCGCTCCCGAACCCGCTCCGCTGACCCTCCCGGCGCGGCCCCAGCGGCCCCGCGAGGACTTGCCGGCGCTGCTCAACGCCTGCCCCTGGGCCCCGCCGGGCTACGCGGCCCCCGCCGGCCTTGCTCCATCGGGCCACTACAAGGCCTGGATCGCCGGCCGCCAGGCCCGGCCCGCCCCCCGCGGCCACCTGGCGGCTCAGGCTTCCCCCGCACCCCGGCGGCCTGGCCACGCGCCCCGGCGCCAGTTCAGCGTGGAGAAGCTGCCCGAGACCTTCGGCCCGCAGCCCCCTGGCCTTTACGGCAGCGCGGGCCGCGGGCCCCGGCACCTGAGCACCAACAGCAAAGCCGAGGTCACCGTGTGAAGACTGGGCCGCTGGTTCTCCCGAATCAACGCAGCCTCCGGGAGGGGCGCCTCGTCCGCCTGGGGGACGCCATGGGCCGGTTCCCAGCGCCCACGCCGCGGGAAGAGAGGCGCCGGCCGTGGAAGGCCAGCCCCGCCCTTATGCCTTCCCCAAGCTGGACTCGGGCTTTGGAGCCTGCAGGGCTAAGAAGGGGCCCACTGGGGAAGGCCAGTGGTTCTGTCCTCGGGGCCTTGGGGCCAGGGTTCCTCATGTAAATATAAAGCTTTTTCTGTGGCTCCCGTCCCTGAGAATAAAGGAGCCCCATCTTGGCTGAGAGGCACCGATGGTGGAAGCATTGGTCATTGACTGGACAGACGGCAGTGCGGGCAGAGGGCACAGCATGTGTGAGAGCAAAGGACTGCTCCTGAGAGCTGGCAGGCAAGTGTCCCAGGGGCCAGGGAGAGGGGACTGGAGACGGTAGTCAGGGTGAATGCCAAGCTTAATGTCCACACCAGTGGGAGCCAGAGGAGACGGGGCACCTGGGCCCCAGCCACCTGGAGGCTCCAGAGCACAGGGGGAGAGGGCCGCGGGGAGCCTGGGGCCCCCTTACTGGAGGTGAGCCCCTTCCAGCCAGTCATTCTACATCTTGAGTTGGTTGGACCTGGCTGATTCTCACTGACAGAGTCTGGCTCTGAGCCGGCACCTGGCTTGCAGGCCACTTGGCCAGCTTGGTCCAGGGCCACCCCCCCTAATGGGTGTGGGCAGTGGGCCAAGTGGACAGCTGGTGCTCAGGATGGGGGAGCCTCCTCCCAGTAGCTGCTGTGGGGGGAAAGGGGATGGGGATGCTGGACGCGGAGCCTTGGCAGTGCCCCCACCAGGGTGCTCACACATGCTTGGCACTGCCACCCCCCCCCTCCTGCCAGGTGGGCTCCGGGCATAACTCGCTGAGGCTCTGGGCACTGCCAGCAGCCTGGGTGCATCGAGTTCCTTGGTGCCCCGGGTGGTTGGGAGGTTGTCTGGGTTATGCCCCTCACTGTGTAACCTCAACGAAGCCACCCAGTTGGGCCTCAGTTTCCCTCCTGTGTGTCCTGGGCACGGTATACTGTTCTAATAACAATGGCCACCATCTGTTGCTGTTTCTTTTATTTAATCCTCACAAAAGCCCCATGGGTGTGTGCTTTACAGACAGGGAAATTGAGGTTTGGGGACCTAAGTAACTTGCCAAGGTCATGCCACTGATTAGTTTAGGACTCCTGTCCTCTGCCACTGTGGACCTGATGAACGGCAGAGGAAAGGTCTGAAGGCGTGCACTGGCAGGGAGGGGCCCTGCTCCGGAGGTCCGTGCTCTCAGACCTTCCCTCCTGCTGGACAGGGCCGCCCTGAGGCCCCCAACCCCCCCAGCTCTTCGCCTGTAGCAGGGCCCACCCTCACTAGCTCTTCTGACTTTTGAGGAAACCAAGGCCCAGAAGCCCCCGGACAGAACAGAGCCAGGAGTCTACTTCCTGCAGCGAGGGCCCCTGTGGCTTTAGGGGAGAGCGCCCTCACACCCTCAAATGGGGGTGCGGTGCCCGGAGGCCTATCCAGGCAGCTGTATAGAGGCTCTGGGGGGGGGGGGAGGTAGGGGTGGGTGGGTGCTGAGTCATGGAGCCTGCCAAGACTTAAAAGGATCAGGTTCCTGGGCACATCGGCCACCCACAGCCACCCACCCTGGTGACACAGGCCCTGACGGGGCTTTGCTGGGAGGTGGGTGCAATGCCTTGCTCATTCTCAGTCCCAAGGACCCTAGATCTCCATCCCAGGGGCCAGCGTGGCCGGCTGTGACCGCCCTTCAGCGAAGGCTTATTCCCCGCCAGGCCAGGCCACAGAGCTTGCTCTCCATGCTCCAGGCTCATCCCCAGGTCACTCTGGACTCTTCCGCTTCCCGCCCACTGCTGCCCGTGGTCTTGCCCCTCACCAGCCTCACGACGCACTTAACTGTACATGGTACTTTGTGCGTGTCATGTCGCTGAACCTGGCCAACACGTCTGTGGGCATTCAGTTAAAGGCAGGGACTGTCATCCCTGTGGTGCACACGTGAAGTGGAGGCGGAGGTGATGTCCTGCCCCAGGTGACCCAGCTGGGAAGTACAGGAGCGGGACTCGGATGTGATCTGTGGGCACTGAGCCCCCCGGGAGGATGGGGAAACACTCAGTAGGGGGCAGACTTCTCTCCGAGGGGTGAACACACATGGGCTTGGCACCCCAAATCTGAAACAGCCGCTGCTGTGATCGGCCAGTGGGGTGCTGGATACAGTGACCTCTGACCCACGCAGCACCTCGGGCTGCCCTTTTATCCCAGACTCCATGCCAGCGGCTGGCAGTGGAAGGAAGCAGGTGTGTGGGTGAGGAAGATCCTTCCAAACGAAACCTTCCAGGAGCCTCTTAGCAGAGAAGGGGCCGTTCTCAGTCCCTGACCCACCAGAGGCCAAGCTTTGCAGCCCCCTGGCTACACCGCCACAGTGGTCACATTACAGACCCTCACACACCTCATGCTGGGTGGTACCAATCTGTGTTTATTGAATAACCTACATCCAGGACACAGTGAATGATTCCATATCAAGGAAGCCATCGGTGTATCCCCTTCTCCGTGAAAAACCACCCCCTCCCACCCCAGAACAGTTAACGCGAAAAGGCACGGTATATACACGTGACACAGGGGCTGGCTCACCCAGTGTGGGCAGGGCCAGGACTTACAGTGTGGGGGGAGGGGCAGCAGAGAAAGAAAGCGGGTAACGTCCGAGCGGAGCCATTCCAGCCTGTACTCGCATGGGGGCGGGGGGCTGCCCATTCTCTACCCCAGCTAGCCTGAGGCCTGAGAACACAGGCAGGAAGGGAGGGAAGGCGGCCCCCCTCGGCCTCCCAGCTGGTGCTGGGGTCCCAGGGAGTCCTCAGGTCCTGGTAGAAACGGCCACAGGGAGGGGGGCACTGAGCCAGGGGACCCAGAAGAGTGGGACCACTTTTCCTTCAAGGACCCTCATCCAGGCAGGGGCCCTTATTCCTAGCGTTTACCCCGAAAAGAGGATTGTCACTGGGGAGAGACTGGGTCCCTGCCACCCTGGCTTATTTTCAGGTCAAGAATTCGGGATAAAAATAGATTATGGAGGTAGGAGTTGGGGTGGGAGGGAATTGAGAACCCACACGGAAGGCCCCTGGTCCCCAGTCCCAATGGGTGGCTCCATCGCTCCAGCCCCTGAGCCTACCCGATGCCTGTGCTGGCATCCCAGGGGGCGGGGCAGTGGGAAGGAACAGGACAATTAAATAAGATACCATTTATTTTTTAAAAAATTAAAAAATAATGCCGACATTATTTCAGCCAACCCCAGGCCTGCCCCCTGCCTCCCACGTGCCGCCCCAGAGCTGGGCTCCGCTCCGCCCCGGCTGTCCTGTGTAATGAAGAGAAAACAATGAACTGGCTTTGTCAGGCACAGGGGAGGGGACACAGACCCAAGGAGAGAGAGGAAGATGCCACAGCACCTCAGCCCTGCATCATGGCAAACCCAAGCCCACGGGTATAAAAACATCTGTATAAAAAGGGGGACGGGCACGCTGGGCACAGTGCCAAGGGTGAAGGGCTTTGTGCCCGAGACCGATGTCCCCCCAAGGGCAAGCCTGATAAAAAACAGGAAGCAGGAATGGGGGGGGGTGTTCAGAAGAGAGAAAAGCTGGGGAGGGCTGAGGGCGGGAGGCAGGGGCCAGGCAGCTTGGGGGCCCCCTGCCGCTTCAGTCAGGGACGCCCCACTTTCTGCCCTGCTCTTCCCGCTCTCAGGCCCACGGGGCCCTGGACCACGGGCATCTATCCACAGCAGCTTTTGGGGCTCTGCCCCGGAGGCCAGCCGGGCTGAGGTGGTCCACAAGCCTCAGCAGGCGACAGCTCAGAAGACAAGGCTCATCCCACAACTCCCAGAGGGAGCAGAGAGACCGAGAGACAGGCAAGAGGGAGAGAGACCAAGGGACAGAGGGAAGAGTGGGAGGGAGGCAGGGGCTGAGGTGGGCAGAGCCCAGGGGTCAGGAGGCGGCGATGGCAGTGCCGCCCCCCAACTTGACAATCATCTGCTGGCAGTCGTTGCAGGAGCGCCGGTCGCCCGCCTTCTCCAGGGTGCGGGCAGCCTCGGCCAGCAGCACGGCCCGCTGGCCCGGGGAGGACAGGAAGGACAGGGGCAGGTGGCGGCAGGCCAGCAGGATGGCGGTGGCCCGCTCTCGCTGGCCGGGCCAGGCGTCCACCTCTCCTGCGGGAACGGTGAGGAGATGCGTGGAGCGGCTGCTGGCGGAGCTGTCCGAGGGCTCACCCCGGGCTCGTTTATTTAAGCCTGGACCCAGCCAGTGTGGCGGGGTCTGCACGGGACGGCAGGGGGAACACGCCAGCACCCCGCGGCTATCACCCCGTGGCGGGGCTGTGCTTCTCCCTGGGCCCAGCAGCCCGCCCCTCCCCACCCCCGAGGCTGGACCCACAACCCGGCCAAACCCTGGCCCCACAGCGGGCTCAGGGGTCCTCCCCAGCCACTCAGAACCAGCCTTGGGCCACTGCTATTCTTGCGACAGCTCTGAGAACAGCGCAGGTGAGGACACCCACCAGGGCTCTGCCAGGGTAAGTGCGGGCCGAGACCCTCCTCCCCTCCCCTCTCCTCCCCTGCTCAGGCAGGGTCCACACCAGGCCCGGAGCAGGGGTTCAGGGAGACTCTCACCGTGCTTGGTGTTCTGGGCGGTCCGTCGGCGCAGACTGTGCTCCAGCAGCTGGTGGGTGCGGGTGGGGCTGGCTCCCGCCATCAGGCGCACTGTGGCTTCGTGCAGGAACACCTGGGGGTGGTGCAGGGGGGACGCACCTGTCTGTGCCCCAGTGGATGGATGCCTCTCCATGAGGCATCTCATCTGCCACCCAACACGGGCCCTTCTCTCTGCACTACCCTGCCCTACTTTCCCCTTGGAAGCAACCTCCTCACTCGGAGCTCTGAAGGAGCCAGACACCTGGAGGAGCAGCCGGAATGGGGAGCACAGTGCAGGCTGGCTGGACTTTCCTCTGCAGGAGACAAAGAGCCCAGACACGCCTGCGGGGGCTGGAACGCAAGCGGCCCGGGTCTTGGGGGCCTGCCTCCAGCTTGAAGACAGGCAGAGGTGAGGCGAGGGGGGGGATAGTGGACAGCCAGCGGGGCTGGCACCAGGGAGGCTCGGTTCTGTTTCCTTCAATTTCTTCAGAAAGAAATAGAGACCAGAACGTGGTCAGGGGAAAGTGCGGCTCTTCTGTAAGTATGAGTCACTGGGGAATGGCAGGCGAGGCCTAGGTCTCTAATTCCTTAA